AGGTCAAAAACATTTTCTTCTCCTACAACAGAAATGTATGTTATTCTCTTCCTAGTGTATGTTATTCTTTTCTTTTATGTTGTATTGGAGTAGGATGTTAGAGCCTTTAATTATAAAAATGGTGTAAAAACTATCGTAACTTTTACAAATATTAAAATATTACAATGCTGGGAACGCAATATATAGGCTAACCAAAACAAAAACAAAAAGTTAGATAATGTGACGACAACTGGGAGTGACGTTGATCCATTCAATATTAGGCTCCGTCAGAAGAATTCTTTGTCTCCTCGCAGCGTGTCACAGTCCACAATCTTATATTGCCAAACCTTTGACACTCGATTCGACCCAACTATGGAATCAAAGCGTCTTTTATGTTTAAATCAAATGTTTTTTGGTTTGCATACTATTCAACATTGATGTTAAAACAATTTTTTACCCAGGACATTTTCTTGAGCAATCGTAACTGGTTTAGGCCTTTGTATTTTCTTTCATTTTAAAAATTAAGATTTTTATCAATTAATAATTGAAACATAGAATACGGTTTAGGTAATATAATCTGTAATACAAGATTTCACAGATATTTTGAATTTTTTTTTTAAACCATAACTTCAAATCTTACTTTGCTTGCACTATGTCTGAAGGTAATAGTAATTTCAAATAATATTAAAAATGGTTAGTGACTTGAATGCAAATACCCGTCCATCTATCAATAAACTAAAGTTGTAAAACGAATTGTGCATTGCACATCTGATCAACTATAATTTTTAAATTAATTTGCGGTACTGTAAAGAAACTGAAGATAGCTGTTTATATATTCAATTAATATCAAATATTTTAAAGCGGTAGGTTTTTAGTTGTAAAATATGTCATTCAACATTTCAACTATAACAGGCATAATGTATTTTTTTAAACTTTGTATATATTTATTAATAACATTTAAACACTACTTATTTAAAATAACTTGTTTGTTGGGTTATTAGTTTTGGTTAAAAAAAGTACATTCCCCATCAGCAGTTACAAAAATAATTAACAGTCCAATAATCATTATTTATTTTTTCAAATATTTTGAATATTTGGCATAATCATATGTTGAGATAACACATAAAAACTGGCTACTGTATTTCGGTTGTAGATCCTAACTCTTGGGTTGATCGTAGGTCAGATGAAAGAATGTTAAGGGAGTTTCGGGTATGTTCTGAAACTATTGGAATACACCACGTCGTGTTTAAGGAGGAACAGTGTAGAGCGCAACATGTATGAATACGACTCCTGTTAACATTAAGTTAATGATACTAATGATGTGAAAGATATCCAACTCTTTTATAATATTTTTGTATATACAAATACACGTAGCAATGTAATAGGTAAACAATTTAAACATTATATTAAATACAATTATTTCAAATGAAATGAAATGAAACTTATCCTTTTATAAAAGGGGAAAAACTTGTTTTTTTTTTACCAGGCCTTGATGTATACAAGCAAATTAGTATTTCAAAAAATCTACAAGATAATTTAAACCATTTTACAAAAATGCCATATTCCAATCAAAGTTCTGAAAAAGTAAGGATAATGATGAATATGCAGTTTCAGTACTTAGCTTATAACAATGTTTATTACAATAATGACGACAAGTTATTAGAAACGTGATACATTACACAATGCATAGTAATACAACAATAAATTGATTTTTAAATAACTATATCTCTAATTACAATGTGTATTTTTTCATTTTTCTCATTCAAAATGTGAAAAGAAAAAATCTTACCACCCAAAACAAGATCTGATTTAGTTTTTATTGTCAAACTACAAACTCCGATAATTTGTTAGATTGTACAACAAACGCTGCGGTGATTTGGACAAAAAGAAAAGCTACTTTGAAACGAGATCGCTGTGTGTATAAACTCAAACAAAGGAAGTCAAATAAGAAGCAGAAGATTTCGACAACAAGGGAAAGTGTTGACTGCAGTGCGGTATCAGGTTTAACCCGTGTTACTTGTAATTGTTGCTTGTGGTGATGGCTTAACTACATGTTTCTCACAGAAGCACTAATTTCAGCTCAGAAAAAATAATAAAACTAGTATTACATTGTTAGCGATCTGTTTATGTGTTTTTTATTTTAAAAGTATTGATACATAATCACTCAAATATACAAAACGAGATTTTTTATCATGCGTATTAAGGGGTACAGTATACTGTATAGAAGTCACTACTAAAAAACAGGGAAATTTAACCATTTTTTCAAAATCAAAGCAGGTTTTAGAAGCCTTTTAAATGTTCTTTATTGAAATTCAAATTTAAATGTTTTGTGAAAGGTTTTCACGTATCTATATTACGTAAACATACAGTGTAACTATGTAACTACTAAAATTATTAATTATTAAGCAGAAACCTATGTCTGTAAGAACAAAACTAAAATGTTTGCCAAACAAGGGTGTTTGATTTAGAATATAGTGTTTGGCTTTTAAAATCTTTATATAATAATAAAAATAATGAAGCGAACTTAGATTTGATTTCTTTTAAAACTGTATTGTTTCACCAGAGGTTTCTAAACTCACAGTTCATATATAACTTGAATGTAAAGCTTTCGATGTATTGATTTTGCAGACCAGTGTCCATGATTACATTATTGCTATAGGTTGTTGCAATGTTTTGTATATATTGTGTATAATAACATTGACACTGCTCAGCAAAATAAAATATATTTATAAAAATAATCCTTAATTATACACTTTGTTACAAACGATCGCAGTAGCAAGATATTTAGTGACTGTTGCCAGCGAAGACATATTGTTTAACCGTAGACGCTTCCATGGTAATAAAACATCTATATTAGTATGCCTAAACCAATACCTTGATATTAACAAGTCCTGTTGGTATTAATGAATCAAAATTGATTGCATTGCACTAATCATTTACAATAAACGTAAATAACCATAAATGTCCTAGTTTTGAAATATTTAGTAATGAGGAGTAGCTGTTTGTCCAAGTAGACGGAAGGTTGGGATCACTTGGGCGCCTAACCAACGACAGAAGACAGTTGTAAGATGGATTTAGTTATTTCGTCTGGAACCTCGACCGTTTCCCGTGTTCCTTATCCATCTTCATTGCGAGGGTGTCTTGCCCAGGCAGAGCATGCCTCTACTAAACAATCGCTTCTTGATAAAAGAGAGATTTACCTTAACTGATATGGACACTCTGCAGTTAACTAATGTATTATTTTATTGTTCTACTTATAAAATGCAATATTTGACCGCGTGATATGAAATATACAGTGTTCTGATATTTTACACACTACACATTATCTGTTGTTGTTCATGAATGAATTTTTAAGATTATAATCACAACACCGGATGAACTTCTCTATAATAAGAAGCTCTTCATTGTCCTAGTGATGATACATTACCTGTTAAGACAATGATTCCAATCCATAAAACGAAACTAAGTGTACATCGATTCATACAAGCTAGAATAAAACCATTTAAACCTAAAAATGATATCCTGATGTCAATAACATATTAAAATATGCACAGAAAAAAATTCAAGATCAACACATCCAAGTTGCCCGAAGGATACATTGCCAATACTATTTACTATGATGTTTTTTTGGATGTACTTTTATCGGATAAAAAGTTAAATATCACTAAAGACTTGAACAGAAAAGCGACAGTAGCGCTCCCTGGGGCAGGATTCTGCATTACTGCCGGAAACACTAATGGACTCAGCTGATCCAGTATGCAAGGCCTCCTTGTTTGCTGCTAGGGCGTAGAGGAAACGCACTCAGATACTGACATTGAGTTTCATCATTGATTATATATATAAATATACATATACATTAGACACTATATTAAGGCAGATCAAATGTAGTATGAGTACATATAGTCAATGGTTTCATGTTGAGTGTATAAAACTTTACATTCATGTAGTTTAATAGCAGTCCTTTAAAACCACTAATAATATTAGACGCCAAGTTTTTATAATTATTGTTAACGAACTAGTTACTTTGGTCGTGCTTCGCAATGGGATGAGTAAAAATAGGAGAACCATATAGTTTTAAAAACTAATATATAAAACGGTTACATGTCAGTTATTACTTCGAAACTTAACTTAGCTCTACAGAATAGTTCCAACTTTGTTCCAGCTAGGTGGTTGTAATTAAATAGCAATGTTATTAAAAAGTAACTTTAAATATAATAAGATACACAGAAACGTTATGTGTTTCCCTAGTTGCCAGAAACTAAAATCCATCAAGAAGCTTTGTGTGTCCAGGGCGTCACTCGAAGGGGTTAAGTGGTGACTGGACTGGTGGTATAAGTTTGTGTCACATTACAGCCCAGTTGGTTCAGGAGATATGCGTAAATTATGAGCAAACACATAGACAAACTGAGGTGCAGACGTTAACCCCATTTTATTCATAACATTACTTCAACTAAAGGTTTCAGACACTTGTAATGGAGAACTCATTTGTAGTGGATAAATGTGGTTATTTTTGTCAAAACATATTAAAGAGTCATCACTGCAGTGTCTGTGAACCGTAACAACAATAATCCCAAACCTTCCAAGATGAAAACCCAGAATTAATCAGGTAACATCTATAATCTTTCTGGCGATTTTTGGTAACGTTAATGGAAACCTTGTAAAATTATGTATATGACGTTCTTGATTTTCATAACCTGAGGGACTTGGCAAAGGGAGGATGCTTATGAATAACCAATATGAAAAAAACACATACAACACTTATAAATGTTTCGTGGGCAACCGCCAAATTCCACTCACACAAACATCAAACCATCATACGAATTTTATTCGTGATTCCCTTTTGGTCTTCAGTTAATGAAAACACATAAGCTTTATAATGAACGGCGACGGTTAAATGTTTCTGTAACCATCGAATAAAACATAAAATACTTCAAGCAATCTGGGTTTCAAGTAGTTATTGCAAATTCGAAAACCATTTTGTTATGTTATGATTTAAATTAAATGCATTTTTTATGTTTCAGGACATGAAAGTGAATTGGGTGACGTCGCCAGGACTGCAGCCTAAACAGGATACAAGCAGTAAGTTGTTTGTATAATCTTATTACAACACAAATACTAAGATAGACGCCAAAAATCCAAGTCACAACTCAACACCAACACGTCGTATGAAACTAAAATTAGTATTTTTTAGTCTAAACAACTCAGTACCCATTTAGTAAATTTGTACTGTATTTATACAACAGTTTTGTTTTTTATATCATAATCGTATTATATTAGGCTATATAAATAAATCCTATTAATTGAATAATAAGTTATATAAAAATACATAACGATTACGTTATACTAGCCAATAAATAATAATAGTCATTTGTTTGATAGTGAAACAAACCTTCACTTACCTAAATTAACAATTCCCCTCTTTTAAAGACTAAGTGTTTTAATTGTGATGTCAAATAGCTATTTAAACTAACAAAGAACATACACTTATCTCCCTTTTCTCTAAAAATGATAAACTGTACACATAAAAATGTATCCTCTTAACGTACTCAAAAGGCACTTCACATTTATTCATTTACTTAATATGCCGCATACTAGTTAACTACGGCATTAACATTTCGATGAACATCAACCTCTTCCACTCAAGCTATACTGTAAAGTAAAAGGTCGATACATATTTTAATCATAAAAAGTAAATATAGAGAGTATTTGCAATATTTAGAATAGAAAGTAATTTTAGGAGGGAGCGCGGTTTGGCTTGTCAGCCGGACTCATGTGTTTACTTTTTTACGGAGTAATCTAGGGCGCTGCATGGTTAGCTGGGCACCGCTCACTTCCCTGCTGGAAACGTTTGTATAAAATATCAAATGAGTTCGTACAATGTTCTATTTATAATATTCTTCCTTTTTCTTTTAATACCGATGCCTTCTGACTGTCTATACACAGCTACGGTATCTTACTAATTTTTGACAATTTTTAATTTTTGTAAAACAATCCAAAAATGGTCAGAAATGCCAAACTATTTAGTAAACAATGATGTAAAGGAGCAGCAGCCTAAACATTCGATAGACTGCATAGTTTGTCACGGAATTTACCTGGTAAACTAGGTGGCCCTATTTTGTAAAGTAAGAGCATAAGTTAGCCCGGTAAATTACCTAAGATATGCTTATGAAGCGCCACAGGGCTGTAGGAGTTCCGATAAGTTTAGGAGAGTTGCAAACATCTTGGGGCTACTACTTATTGTTGGTAACCCTAACTCCTGGACACCCTACACTGCTTTGACTTGATCACTTCAAAGCTCTATCCTCATATACAAGTTATGGAATATCTTACGTAGGAACTGGTGATAGGAATCAGATAGAATTGTAACAATACTGTTGGTTACTTTGATTGTAATCTTATTTAATTTGAGCATCAATACTCAGCTTTTAAATGGAAAAATTAATGTTTTTTTTACATCAATGCATAGTAAATAACATACTTATTACTTAATTAGAAATAAAATGGCGAAAAACTATCCGTGATAGTTCTTATTCAATTTCCATGTCACTGTACCATAAATACGAAAGGTTAAGGTCCTTATTGTTCAATACGATTTTACATGAGTAAAAAACACTATTTCTCACACACAACTCTGTGAAATAAACTCGCAGTTTCGCAGGGCGAGGCAATGAAAAGTCCCAACTATAAAGAGTCCACATTTAGTACTATGAATACTATACATATGAATACCAGTTTAAAACAAAGCTTATATTACACCATTTTAACTTGATTGTGTCATTTTATCATCCCGTTTTAAAAATGTTCTTCATGTTACATCCTTGTAATTCCTTGGGTCAATTATAAAATTAATAATACGATATTTGGTCCAGCATTTTTCAGAAATTCATTAAATTTGCTGGGCAATTCTTTGCTTCAGTTCGAGCAAATCTTCGGGATGACTTTGGAAAACCTCAAACATTAAGTAGCCCCATAGGAAATATCCCATAAAGAGAACGTTATTCTGGGCAGTATCTATATTTTTGCAAAGAATTAATATTTATTTGAAGTTTTTATAGTAAAATCGTGGTGTGGCTACTCCATAGCACCATGTATACTGAAATTGCATAGTTTAATTGATGTTATAAACATAGTAGTTAATTAATTGATGCAATATTTATCATGTTTCAGAACATGAAAATGTGTAATCTCTCATTACATCACCCTATACTCAATGATTAATCAAGTATTAAATTGCTGGCTTTAGAGATTTCACAAATAATTAGTTTTGTAATGTATGTTTGTCAGACTTTCAAACCCATATTAAATTAAATAACCTTTGCCAATCATCCACATAACCAATACAATCCACTAACAGCTGGTGACTTCATACTTTGTTGAAAAAATACTTCTTCCTTTACATGTCCTTTTGTAGGCTTTTCTTGACTTTTTACGTAAAATTGCACACAATCCGATCCAGCAATTTAAAATAATGAACGTTTTATAAGTCCCATTTTACAAACTTCAAATGCTGATACACGTTGTAAAATACAGGGACTGGTATGCGTAATCATTTATTCATTAGGTATTGAGTTTTCAAGGCACAAAAACACAGGCCTGCAACATTTAGGGCGATTCAGCCCTCCCCACCCCACGTTTACTCGTGAACATATACTGCATGCGAGATACAAACGCTTCTCTAACAACCTTTGTTTTTAAATACACATTGTGTTGTAATTTTTTCTCCTACACCTGCAGAGAAAATCAAACTGTCAAAGTGATAAACATTTCGTAATAGAACAAACTTGTTTATTGGACTTATAAGTATCTTACGCTTGTAACAGTGATCTGCATTTGCATGTATTGTTTTTGGTCGTTGTATTTTATTGCGTTTTGCATGACAAGATCCATGGCACAGTTGTGTTTAATTATCAATAACGAATCTGAATCTGAATCTGAGTCTAATAGTTTAGTCATTCTGTAATGTGGGGTGTATTTTATGAACAGCTATTATTTTTCAAAGGAAATGTTTCACAATAGTTTAAATACACTATCGTTTTAGTCAGGTTTAGAGGTGCCACAATGTATTGTTTTATCTCAGCCTCGAAGGTAGGTATGATTTCTCTCAGACACATTACCGCCTGGTCCAATGCTTGTTTAGGCTGTATCGTGTTTACCTGGTTGTGTAGTGGCACCACTGAGCTGATACGACTTGTGAGTTATGGCTATTGACTTGATGGTGTTGGCTCCACTGCTGTGTGCTTTACTTGAGCTCGCTAACTGGTGACATAACCCTACGAATATACGCCGAATGGTGTGAAATCGACCAATAAAATAGCATACGCATGAGCCTTTGTTTAGCACGAATAAGTTAACTGACATCATTTAAAATTTACTTTTTTTTATTGATAATGCAGGATTAGTGGTTCATCCTTTAACGTTTGTATTACTATTTTCACGACTACAATCACTGCACATTTTCCTTGTTACTGTTAGCGAGTACCAAATTATTTTTTATTATTAAAATGTAAAACATATTCTACTATAAAAATCTTTGAAAGTTGAGATTGTTCAAAAGAAATGTCTTATTACCAAAATATAAGGGCCATGGATAAATGAATCAGGCTGTAAAGTATGTTGGAAAGTAATAATTTATGAAATTTAAAGGAGAGATTAGAGAACAAGATCTTAATCCGGATAGCCTCGTCTGTATTATTATTTATAGCCCTTAATTGCTTCATCTCCTGTTTTATTTTCGCCTGTAAGAGTAGAAACCACCCCCTTATAAAACTTTATACAGATTAAATGCAAATTAAAGATCAAGAGAGTCATACTCATAGTACAGTGTAAAGAGTAATTTACTAGTTCAGGACTATTAGAATTTCTTATAACGTAATTTATGGTGGTATATTACATAATTTTAACAAAACACTACAAGAAATTTCAAAAACATTTGTTTTTACAGGATTAGCCATCGCCATCTTAATATGAATGTTAAAAGTGTTTGTCATCAACCAAATACAGTTTTTAAGGAACTTCATTTGCTTGGATAAAAAAAGTAGCAATTGTCAGTAAAATATCCATATCTAATAAGATAGTTTGTACAAATTCAAAATAAGTGTTAATAAGGATAATAATCCTTAAAAAGTGCATGTAGAATTGAATCCTACTAACATCGTTTGTATCATGCACTTAATTAAATTAATTTCGTTAAATACACTCTTTTAAGTTGGCAAATCTTCACTGTTTCTGTTGGGATGTAATTAATAAATGTATTTTTCCAATAAATAGTTTGAGCATATACAATGCAGGATTACAAGGCGAATGATACTGGTTGTTCGTTTTCTATCTGATCTAATAGATCTGTAACAGTAGGTGGACAGTTTATTTAAATTATAGATGAAAAGGTATAGTGATAGTTTGTCAAATAAGATTAATAAGACCTAAATGTATATATCAAAGTATATAATCATTAGGTGGTGTGAAATGTTTCATTGAGTAATTCAGTACACCATTGCGGTATCTGAATGTGGCGTACGTGGAAACAGAGTCAGTTTATTGTCTAGCAGCTCGACGCGTTTGAACGTAAAGAGTTTGGTTTTACTTTTGGGGACGAGCCTGTATCAAGTATGTAGGGACTGAAGGACGTTCCTTGAATGATGCAGGAGTGTGTTTGTGTGCTGAAAGCTCAATAGACCCTCAATAAGTTATCACTTTTGTCACTAAGATCACCTTTGCCAGCACACTGTTACTGTCTGTAAAGTTCTGTTCTGTATTTTCAATTGTAAAAGAACACAAACATGAAGTATGAAGTATAAAGTCGTTTTAAAAAAGTGCATCGCTCAAATCCTGGTTTTATTATTTCTGGGAAGCCTAATGATATCACAATACCATATCTCATTTGTATCTATATTTTAAAACATTAATAATTGTTAATATTACTTGGAAAATGATTTTCATATGAGGGTTAAGTACGTGTAACATTATGCTTATGGTTAGCACCTCTAATTAGACAAATAACTTATATATACATTGAGTGCGATAAGTGTTAATTGGGTGACTTATGAATCTGTAACAGTCACAGTACTGTTGCCAAACTAGGT